CTATCCTAACCATCATCAGAGAGGCTTCCCCCAGGAACTAATGGGAGAAGATGCAGAGACCCACTGCCAGAATTTATCCAGAGCACAAAGATTCTGGCATAAGAGCAGAAGGAATGATTGTAGGAGGAAGAGGGTTCAAGGACACCACGAGAACTTGCCTCACAAGAATACTTAACAGGGCTCAAAGGGTCTCATAGAGACTAAAGAATTAATCAAAAAGACTGCATGGGTAAGAGCTAGTTCACCTGCATATATGTCATAGGTGAACAGCTTTGTGATTTGCTGAAAGCCATAACAGGGGGAATGGGCAAATCTCTGAACATTTTTGCCTGATCTTGAGACCCTTCTCCACCTACTGTATTGGTCATCCAGCATGAATATGAGCATTGGTGCCAAGTCTTATTGTGTCCTCCGATGCCCCATTAGGTTGATATTCCGGGAAGGCCTAATCTCCTCTGAAGAGAAATGGAGGATGAAGGGAACAGGGGAGAGGGGAGATGTAGCAGTAACTGGGAAAAGTGGAGGAAGGGGAAAGTACTGTACAAGAGAAAAACCAGTAGCAAGGAATGAAGGAAGAACGAAAGGTAGGAGGATTGCAAGGAAGGAGTGAAGGAAGGAAGAAAGGAAGGAAGGATGTAAGGAAGGAAGGTAGGAAGGAAGGAAGGACGGACAGGAAGAAAGAAGGAAAGATGATTTCACCCACATACCAGGATTTCTCAGTTTGCTGATAAAATCTGAATTTTTGAGACCACCAACTGCCACCCCTGTTAAAGTGAATTAAGCAAGCTTTATTTCCTAGGCTCAGAACTGGATCTACAATATGAGAATTTAGAATACAGTGTCGGTTAATTTGCAGGCTCTCTTCTAGAGAACCTTACAAAATGAGATCTTCTTAACATCATGATTTGGAAAGAGATGTTTACAGAACCTGATAACAGATTAGATTATTTGACAACTAGTGTGGCAGAATGTCTCAAGGTTCCATGACTGGACACCCCATCATCCTGGGGTAGAGTCGTACTGTAGCAAAAACAACAACTTATTCTGACCTTAACACAAATGACTTTGACATCAAATGGAATCAGTCTGGTCCATCAGGATGCCCTGTTCATTCCAAAGAACTCCCAAGTTTATTTCTTCATTTGGTTTTCTTCATTTTCTTTTTTCCTCCGTGCAGACTTGGAAGTGGTAAACTAGCCCTGCAGACCAGGCTGACCTGGAACATCCATAGATCTGCCTGTGTGTACCTCTTGGGTTTAAAGGTGGAGCTTTTC